AAAGAACCAGACTGAATCTGCCATTTGGGCGAGGGGGGATTACTGCGGGCAATCGGTAACTAAGCAACAGGGAAAAGCGTGGGAACGGGGAAACTATAAAATACCATGTAAGCTATGCCAAGCCAACCCTGGCTTTGTCTGTACCTACCTATGTTACACTCTAGTAAACTTCTTGGCTGAACTTGCGTATCACGAGAGTTTCTTTGGAGCTGAACGGGGTAAATCGTACAGGCATATGACTTTATTCCTTGTATTAGAGCTCCCTTTTGTGCTTTCAGTTAAAGATGAAAAATCTTTCAAGGTAATCTGACAAATTATTTTTAAAAGTACAGTAGCATCAGTAGAAATAGTGTAAGTCCACAAGCAAAATAAAGTAGAATAAATCCTGGTAGATCCACAATGGAAGTCTAAATAATTGCACAGCAATATTTTAAAATTATTATAAAATACTGATATGGTTATTCCATTTTGGAATATGATATGGAGCTCCATTTTGTGGTGTCAAATATAAGAACTTTAGGAAATAACATCCAGCAGGAATAAATGTGCTATAGTTAAAATAAGTCCGTAATTATGTGTGCGCTTAAAAAAATGGAAAGATGTAAAACAGTTAATATTAATCTACAATGCAGCAAAATAAGCTGAAGAGAAGCAAAACTTGTATACAATGTATCTTGTAACTTTTTATACTTGTATAAAAATATAAGTATACTAACTTTATACAAGTATAAAAAGTTACAAGATATATTGTTTTTCAACTCAGTGTATTTCTTGAGTTATAAGAGTGGACTCAAGTTCCAACTGGCCAAAAAAAGAAAGTAAGGAAAAATAAACAGGGTCAATATATAGAAGCATTAAAGCTACCATACACTTATTTATTTACGTATGTCAATTTATGTGGTTGCCCCTCTCACTAAAGCAACTCAATTTATGACTTAAGATCATAAAAATAAAGTCAGTTAATCCTGAGGTTATAAAGATGCAGTAAGTAAAAAAAATGGAGCTGAAAAGATAACTGCCTAATTACTTTCAGCATGAAAGATATAATAAAAGTTTAACTGGCTCTTGTCAATCTGTTGGAAATCGGTCCCGAACATGGTCGAGTTGCGGAAGAAGATAGAAACATCTGTGCAGGTTTATAAATCCACCAAGTTCATTTGATGCCAAGCTACCCCATTAGATCAATGTGCTCTTCTACACTTGTCAAATTAGTCAATTATTTTAAAATTCAAATAATGCAAACAATAATCTATTATTTAAAAACCAGGTGATGTCTTTGCCCAAAGAGATTTGTTTAAATTATCACAAAATAAAATCGCTCCTTGGTATGCATTTAATAAAACTAAAACCGAATGCGAACATTATCTGAGGTGTGTTACAGTGCCGTCCCTCCGAGAGGCCCTGACAAGACTTCAGTTCCAGCAAACGGCATCAGCAATTAGAGAGGGCTGATTTCACAATATCCCATGTAATATCCGCTTCTGTCCTTGCTCCAAGGAAATTATAGAAGATTTGACCCATTTTTTATTGCACTGCCCTATTTCCACTCCAGCATGTGGAAAATTTCTGGAGCCCCTCTTGATAAGAAAATCATTTTGGCCTGATTTATATAAAATTAAATATCTAATGAATTCAGACAAGGAGACACTGCTATGGAAATTAGCAAGCTTTGCATGGGCTGCTGCTAAACAAGAGAGAATATTTTATCAAAAGTTCCTAATGTTTACTAATATTTTACCTGCTGTAATAACACTGTTTTAATGTTTTTACTGATTTTTGTACATTTTAATGTATTTTATTAATGTTTGGCCACTTTTGTGCAGGTTTTATCTCACTTGTTATGACCAGTGGTCAAAACAATAAAATAAATTGACTTGATACTTGACAAAGGTCCAAGAATCCATGATTCCTACAGTTGGGAAAGGAGAAGATTCAGCACCCCCCACCCCCCGGTTAGAAGGTTCTGCTTTCTCCCTGACAACCTGCCATCCTTGAGTCCTCCACTTTGGACCTTCACTTATAACTAAATCTGCACTTTCATGCCACGCATGTATTCATCAGCTACCCTCCACAAGGTCAGACCATCTTTGTTCACAAACATGCCACATATATGTTTATTCCTAATACATGTCACTCATTGATTCACGCACTAGTTGGGCCACACCACAGTAACTGCACATCTCAGCAGGGAAACAATGGCTGTTGTTCCAGCAACCCTAACTGCTGACTTCCAGCTCCCACCAAGCATAGCGGGTCCTGATCGTGCTTGGCTTCTCCCAGCAGATTGCTCCGGAGCAGCCCTGCCTACGTCTCCCTGTCCTCTACCCTCAGCTGACACGGTTCTAGGGGACAAGGCCCATGTCTATGTCAAAGGATGCTGGGCCTGGGGCAGCTTGGTGGGGTTTTGTTGGCTCAGTATGGGAGCTGGGACCTGAAAGTACAACTCCTGATACCTACCCTTTATGATTTAAGATCATAAAATTAAAGTCAGTTAATCCTGAGGTTATAAAGATGGAGTAAGTAAAAGTTAAAATGGAGCTGAAGAGATAACTCCTCTTCTTCATCATCAGAGGTGTGCTTCTGAGGAAGAACTATGATATCAACTTTCTTGGACAGCGCCTTCTTTTTATTCTTTGTTTCATCAGGCACCCCCCTTCTCCCCTCCTCATGAGCTCAGAGACCCATGCTGCTACGACCTGGGATCTCAGTTCCTGTTCTTCAGGCACGGTTGCTTCCTGAGGGTAGCATACCTGGCTGCAGCCTAAGCCCGGAACTGACCCTGGCCTAAGGTGGTGGTCTGCCCTGAAGGCAGCTGCCTTAGCCAGCCTACTGGCTTCCTGCTGGACTGGCACAAATGCTCCTTGTTGTAGGGGGCATTTTCCTTTGGGATCTCTTTGTGCTGCTGCCAACATTAAGCCCCTTTATTGGTTTAGAAATTTTTTAAGTCTCTAAGGTAACATAACTGGATGAAGCCTGGGAAAAGTTCAGGAGAGTACAGAGAGTACATACGGAGTTTTGATTAAATAATTAAAAAACTGGTTTTTAAACAGTTCATTTATTTCTACAAAGAGTCCATCAAAACTAGCCCACGCCAGCCCTAAAACTATTCCACCTCCCTAAGGACTCGGAGCATGTCCCAATCCCGCCCCTTCCTCCTGCTGGAAGCCCACTTGGGAGGAGGGCCCTGCACTGTCATCCTTCAGCTGGCAGTTCAACAGTTGTTTGGATTATAAAATGGACACTCTGGCAAAAAATCAAGTAGCAGTGGGAAATCTGGTTGCTAGTACTGAAGTCTGTGAAGGATTCACTACTACTGCCATTTGGAGTTTTTTTTTTCTGTGTGTCTTCCTTATCCTTGCTGGGGATGCCCATGACACCAAGGCCCAGGGCATCAAGAACATTCATTAGAACCAGTCTGTAACGGGCATAGGAATAACCTTGAGGAACAGGAGGAAGAACCATAACCAGTTTCATACATTTATTTGCAAC